ATATGGTATGTATTTCTGTGTGGAGGATCAAATTATCCCACAATAAGGGAACTGAACCCAAGTGATGAACCTCATGCCTAGGCATTATAGCTGGAACATGATGGGTCAATGTGCCTTAGGTCTTTTAGGAGCTCCTTTAGATGTCCACTCCTATAATGAAAGTATACACTGGAGTAGTGATTTGAAGGTTCTCATTCATAATAAGAGAGATTTTATGCCATAGAATAATAAAATAGCTGAAAAACCTGGGATGAGATGGGATGAGTATCCCTCTGAGCACTTCTACCCAACTATGGTATTCCTCAGCTTGAAAACTCTATTTGCAATTTATCTGCTACAATGGCTCAAATTGCTGATTATATTGCAGATGGAACGTCAGCCCAGCAGAAATCTTTAGAATCTCTTGTTAAGGTTGTATTAGACAATAGGATAGTTCTTGATTTCCTTCTAGACCAACAAGAAGGAGTTTGTGCCATTGCTAATACCTCTGCTGCACCTGGATAAACACCACAGGAGAAGTAGAACAAGATATTAGAAAAATATACCAGAAAGCTAGTTGACTACATTCAATACCTCCTATGTCTGACTCTCCCTTTTTAGGTATCTTTAGCTGGTTACTCAATGGCATGGGTTCCTAGTTATACTCTATACTACAAACTGGGTTAATCTTTTTGATTGCTATAATAATTATTGTAGGTCTTGTTAAATGTTGTATGAAATGCCTGTATAATGCTTGTAGCCAAACTATAGTTCCCCTTGCTATGCTGAAGGTTATGTATCCTGAAGAAATTAAGTTCTTAGAGGAGACAGACCTCACACCTTGAGTTAGCCTTTTTGAATGTTAAATTGTTCCTCCAAGTGTGGCCTTGCTTCACACATACCCCAACTGGAGGACCTCAGAAGCAGAGCATCTGAGGTATGGCATGGTGAAAAGGTGGATGAAAGATCCAACTTATAAAAAGATCAATCCAACGAGAAGTCCATGCAGAAGAAAACACTTAAAATGGTGATCAAGGAATCGCTATGGAGATTCATTATCAACAGGGGGAAGTGTGAAAGAGCACTCTAAAACAGAGGTGCTTGACATAACTAAAATGTCTAACACAGATCTGAATCGAACTCCATTTTGTTTTAGGCTCTTGCTTCTGCTTTTTAGAGTACGTGATCCATGACCACACTATTGACCAAGAAAACTTGTTCTGCAACATTCTGAGATGGCCCATGCGGATTGTTGCAGGAACCATCTTTGGAATGCAGGAAACTGAGGCTAAGGTTGAGTACCCCAGCCAAGAGAAATTCTTGGTAAATGAGTCTTACAGAGCATGCTGAATATCAACCAATCAAATGTACCCCTGTACTCTTTGCCAACTCTGTACAGAGTTCTACAAAATTGAGTATAAAGGATGTGTGCTTATGCTCCCTCTTCGGAATGACATTTTGAACTTTCATTTTGGTGCTTCCCAATTTGCAAGTCTTTGAATCTGAATAAAACTCTTCTTTTATTTTACAGAAACTCTGTTTCATTTTTTACATCCTGGACACCAAAGAAGCCCCCTAGAGGCTATCCTGTACTCCCAGCACCCTGTTGTCCACCCTGCAAGGCACATTTACAGCTGAGGAAATATAATCATTAGTTTAAAAAGGCTTTTTTTAAGCATTACTTTTTAAAAAAATTCTTGAACGTCCTAAAAATTGGTTGTTCCCAAAACACCCACAATTTTTGTACAGCAAACAACACCATAAATAAAACTATAAACAAAAGAAAATTTGTACTATATATCACAGACAATGGTTGATATCCTTAACCTATAAAAACCCTTATTGATCAATAAGAGGAAGACCAACACTGCAGTAGACAAAAACAGCTAGGGATGTGACTAGGCTGGGGTGTGAACTGACCAAGAAAGGGAAGCTGAGATCTCCCTAGACTGGTTTGACATTACAAATTGGTGTCAGTAAAAGTGAGATCCAATGCAGTGACTCCTGAGTCAGGGAAACATAGGGTTTTGGAAGAAAAAGAATAAATGGACGAGGGATGAGAAACTTGATTTCTGGATAGTTACTTTTGTTGTCGATATCTGTAGTAGTAGAAATTAAAGTAAGAGGTGAGCTTGGTTTGGATTCTGGCTGGCCCACAGCCTCAGAGCCATTTCTAAAGGGAAAGACTACGTTAAAGCAGCAGATAAAGAAGAAAGCTAAATTGATTTCCATAAGATTAATGAGGAGAGAGAAGACACACCTGGAGTGGTTTAGGGTGAAAGTCAGGCAGGTTAATCCAGATGATGATTGACAAGGTGCCAGAGTTTTCTTGGTCCAGGCCAGCCAGGGACCTGAGGCCATATACATATAAATAGGTAAAATGCTCAGGGGATAAAATGAAATTAGAAACTGTGATGTTTAAACAGGCTTTATGTAAAGGAGTAAAGAGAAATATGAAAGCCAAACGTTTTAAAAAAAGATTTATGTGAAGTGGTTGTGTTAATCTGAATTTATCATCAGAATGTATTATATTATGTTTGACTAAAGAAAGGCTTCCTCATACCTCATGTTCTAAAACAGACCTGAATGTTTGAGAATGAATGTTGGGTATTGTGAAAAACAGAGAGTAACTTGCCCTTCAGGCAATACTTGTTTGGATATGCTAAATGGAAACTAGTAAGAATTGTCCAAGCCTACACTGGTTGATAATTCACATTAATCCTGTTGTGGAGCTTTAATCAGGATATATGCTGAAAACCGTAAACAACCAGGAGCTTTGCATTTGAGAGGCAATTACTATTGGATTGAAAAGCTGATTGACGAAGGTAAAAAGTCTATTGACTCATTGAGGTGATACTCATGTGGGGCATAGCCCTATGGAAACCTGAAGAGTACACTAAAGCAGGATATGTCAGTGCCCATCAGAAGAACCCCATTCCAGGACTGGAAGTTAATGGAAGCCAGTGAGTAGATATCCTGGAATGCTCGCTTGAGTTGACCACCTGGGTTCATGAAGTTGGCTAGGTGCAGAGATGGGCTAAGTCTGGGTATGTTCCTCTTGCACGCTCTGAGGCACAGAATACCACTGGTAGCCCTGGAGGGCTGTGTTTGCCCTGGATTGGACTTCGTTTACTCAGTAACGGATACAGATGCTCAGAGTTCAAACTGGAACAGAAGATTTTTCAGACCAAGGAGTAAGCTTTTCTTCTCACAGTACTGGTTTGATAGGCATGGTCATTTAAAACACCGGCTGTCTAAAACAGGAGGGGTGGGGGAAGAGATGAAGGCCTGAAGGGCCAGCTCACATGTTTCCACATGTGTGTGTTCACCTTCAGCATGAGGGGGACAAGGGAGGATCCTCACTGGATAGATTCCTCTTTTCCTGATAAAACAACTCACAAACTGTGAGTCTGTGATGGGTCTGGGGAAGAGGGGATGGGGAGGATGCTGATGTGACTATATGATTCAGCCGTAATCGTGAACAACTGTAATTGTGAAGGCTGTGGTTGTGGAAACTAACTGAAAAGCTGTAGCTCTACAGGTGCTTGAAAAGACAAAGCCAAGACCATGACTGACAAGACCATATGGAGGCCTGCAGCAGACCAGAATGACCTCTGCCTGAGAGGTGAGGACTGGGATAATTGTTGATGACTGATTTGGACTGGGATTGTGATGACGATCTTCATACTCAAATGTTAAGCATGTGAAAGAACCATGACCAAAGGGCCAGGGGGTGAACTATGAGGTATGGAATCCCTTTGCAGTAAACAATTTGGCCCAGGAGTGGTTGGCCCAGTAAGCAAGTTAAGTACGGGCTTACTTACTAATCTGTAGTGAACAATTTCACATGGGGGGAGGGTAAGGACATCCCCTAGGGACATGGAGGCTCTGCACTGAGACCCCCTTTTGAACCTTGCCTTTCTGTTTGTATCCTTTTTCCTTCTAGATTAAAGATAGCTTTTTCCTGCAGTTTATGAGTTGTTTCAATGGCTTATTGGACCTAAGATACAGAGAAGGGGCTGGTGCCCACAGACCTAGGCCCAGGTGAATGGAGCTGAGAGAAAAATGGCCCCACTGGTGGCTGGGGTCTGAATTAACCAGGGAAGAGAAGCTGTGATTTCCCAGGACTGGTTTGGTATTTCAGCTATGTGTAGAAAAACAAAAAGAAAGATCAGTATAACATTTTTTTAAATTGCCTGCCACTAGAGACAGAGTGACACTTTGGATGCAGAGACATTCATTTGAATCAAGTTCTATCAAATAATAACTGGTGTTGTGGATTGAACTGTGTCCCCCAAAAGTATGTGTCATCTTGGTTGGGCCATGATTCCCAGTATTGTATGGTTGTCTTCCATTTTGTGATTGATGTAATTTTCCTATGTGTTGTAAATTCTATCACTATGATGTTAATGAGATGGATTATTGGCAGTTATGTTGATGAGATCCACAAGATTAGACTGTATCTTAAGCCAATCTCCTTTGAGATATAAAATAGAGAAGCGAGCAGAGAGACAGGGGAACCTCATACCACCAAGAAAGCAACCCTGGGAGCAGAGTATGTCCTTTGGACCTGAGGTTCCTGTGCAGAGAAGCTCCTAGACCAGGGGAAGATTGATACCTTCCTCCAGAGCCAACAGAAAGAGAAAGACTTCACCTGGAGCTGACACCCTGAATTTGGACTTCTAGCCTACTAGACTATGAGAGAATAAATTTTTCTTTGTTAAAGTCATCTACCTGTGGTATTTCTGTTATAGCAGCTCTAGATGACAATAGACTGAAAAACCTCTGAGCCACCATTTCCCCCTGTGAGATGAGGGTGACAACTGATGTCTCTAAGAGTTATTATAAGGATCAAAGCCTAAATGTGGCATTCCCATAATTCTACTTATTTTCTCTATGCTCCAAGTTTTTGATAAATGTCATATTACATTTTGGGAGTAAAAACAATTAGGTTTAAAACTCCTACTGTCCCGTCCCTGAGGATGTCTGAACTCCTGTTTCCAGCAGCCCCACCCCCTTACCTGGATGTCATGGACAATGTCTTTGAACAGCACTGACCGCTGGGTCCACACGCCCACCAGCTCCATGGCCCTGTCGAAGTTCTTGACATACTCGCCGTACATCTTAAGGAATGGGGCCAGCTTCTGCAGGATGTCCCCAAGCCGAGGGTTCACATCCCTTCATGGGAAGTCAGAGCAGCAAAGAAACAACTTGAGATGAGGGGCTAGGGGGCATTGTAATTAATTGACACTAACTTTCCCTAGGAGGAGCCTTGGCAGCACAGTGGTTAAGTGCTTGGCTGCTGACCGAAAGTTCAGCAGTCTGAACCCGTCAGCCACTCCATGGGAGAAAGATGTGGCAGTCTGCTTCCATAATGATTTACAGCTTTGGAAACCCTATGAGGCAGTTTTACTCTGCCCTATAGCGTCACTATGAGTCGAAATCAGGTTTAGTTTGGAGCCACGGGCTGTGACCAAGAGTGTGGGCTCTGGGGTCACCCCGCAAAGGACTCCCAGCTTTGCGTGATGGTGGGAAAAACAGTCTACCTCTCTGAGCCTTAATTTCCTTCCCTATGTAATGGGGGTTGGGGGAGGAAAAGTGTGTTCCTGGTAGACTAAATGAGAGAGTGTACACAAAACATGTCAGCAGTGCCACGCCCAGAAACACTGCTCCAGAAAGAGGAGGAGTTAGCAGAGGCAGAGCCACAGCTCTCAGAGAGAATCAATGAAATACCATTCCACTTCTAAATTAGCCAAGAGTAGAAACGGAAGTGCCCCATGAGAACACCCGGTGCTGACAGAGTTGTGGGGAAAGTAATAGTTGGTATTAATACTTTGTATTACCGATAATGAAAACTACCTGTTTTCCTGCTTTGGACAATGATTTGGAAATAAGTTTCAAGAAGTATAAAAACATTCTAAATTCTTCAACCTTGTAACTGTTGGGAATTTATCCTAAAGAAATAATCAAGAAGGGAAAAACCACATGCACAAAGCCGCCACCGCAGTGTGACCACATGTGAGAACCTGTGGCTGTAATTTCACTGTCTGGCCGTGGGGAAGGCTGCCCTGTCACTGTGAAATAGGGACTGCGGAGAGTGCGCAGCCTGAGGAAGAATGCTTATGCTACAGCAACACCCTTTGAGACTGGGGTGACAATCACGTCCCAACGTGGAGGCGCGGCTAGCGGAGGTGCACCATAGCACATGTAATCTTTGTGCGAGGAGAAAGAGGCACAAAGATCCTAATTTAAATGGTACCTGGCCTCTGCTTACTTTCCTCCTCCCGGAGCATTTGCTCAGGAGTGAGGAGCGGAGAGGAGGAGGAGGAGAAGGGGGCCTTAATGTTTGGCTCCTCTGCCTGGCTCTGCAAACCATACCTGGGGTCTAGCGGTGTCACACTCAGCCAAGGGGACTCTGCTCCAGGACTGCCACAAGCCCTCAGCACTCTCCCACCTCCCAGCCTTGGCCCCACCTGGAAGCCCCGCAGCCTGGCAGCTCAGGTTTCTTACCCCCATACCCCCAAACAGTGGAGCTGCAGTCACCCCCACACCCCAAAAGGTAGAGCTGCAGTCGCTCCCCTCCCCTGCCAAACGGTAGAGATGCAGTCACCCCCCTCCCAAATCATGGAGATGCCGTCGCCCCCACCCCCCAAATCATGGAGCTGCAGTAGCCCCCACCCCCTAGACGGTGGAGCTGCAGTCATGGGGCAGCTGCCATTCGGCTAAGGTTGGCTCCCAGTGGAGGGCGCAGCAGGAATCCAACTGCAGATGATTGATTGGGAAGATGGGGACTCTGGGGGGCAGGAGGGAATCTGCTCCTGGGGGGATGCCAACTCCTGGCCTCTCCTGGCCTTTCACAAAAGGGAGACACAAATGCTGGTGAGTCAGCATCAGACCTTGTGTGCCGAGGGTGCACTGTTTCTCCCATCACCCACACGGCTACCCTACAGACACTGAGACAGCACCAAGAATGAGTGAGAAGACCTAGGCCCTGATCTTCTGCCACACTGGGTGGCACAGCATTACCGCACTCCCTCCAACCAGGGAAGGGCCAGCACAGGGGGTACAGGTGGAAGGGCTGCTGGTGCCCGGCCCTGGCAGGCCCCTGAGAGTCTGGACAGAGGATGGGCATGCTGAGATGCATGGCATGAAGGCAGGGCTGAGGATGGCCAGCCAGCAACTGGCAGAAAAGACAGCCCAGGACCCGATGGGCGTGACTTCACTAGGGCCTCTCCAGGGCTGAAGGCCAGGTGTGGACTTCTCAGTCAGAAGCTGAGCTTGCACCTTGGGGGCATGCTCTGACTGTGGCTCTGCGGGGACCAAACTCCCACAGAGCTAAGCCCCTCACCTCCATGTCTCCCCGGCCCCTGGCAGCTTGGAGAATGGCTCTCACCCACACCAAGGGGCTGAGCATTCACACCACAGAGACCACAAGCGCTGCAGACCAGACTGAGGCCTGTGAAGGGGGCACACAGTGGGGAGGCTTGGCTGGTTGGGGGCCATGCCCACAGCACTGTTACCAATCCTGATACAGCTGAGCCATCACCCTGCTGAAGGCCCAGGGGCAGCAGAGGGACAAACCATAGGGGTGGCAGGAAGAGGTCTTGAGGTGGACTTCTGAGAGGAGAAGAAAGTCTCATTCCTACAAGCGTAGGTAGAGCATACGCAGGGAGGGAAGGTAAGACAGACCAGCAGTGTGGAGTGCTTCCAGATGCCAAGCCTGCTCCAAATCCACAGAGCCTGAGCCAGGCATTAAAGTTCCTCCCTTTTGCAGATGAAAAAACCAAAGCAGGAGACAGTGACTCTTAAAGATTGCTCAGCCAGGAGGATGTTGGACTGGACCCTGGGCCATAAGGCACAAGGACCTGGACTGCCCCCTCCCTCTGCTCTGAGTGCCTGCGTGATGCCCGGCACCAGGAGCCCCCAGACTGAGGAGCCACCAGGCAGGAGAAAAGTCACTCAGCCAGCCACTGTGATAGAACCGCTTGGCCTCAGTGCAGACAGTATCTGGGCTAGTCCGACAGAGGCGCCCAGCAGGGCCACGGCAGCCTGGTGCCGTGCTCACACTCACCACTCGTCAACGATCCGTGCCTGCAGCTCTGGCAGGAGGAACTGCCTGTGGAACCGATAGATGGAGGAGATGTTCGAGAAGATGCCTGTGGTGACCTCCACAGGGATCCCAGCCTCCGACAGCCTGGTGCAGAAGATCTGCGGACAGGGAGGCCAGTGCTGAGCATCTGTGGAGCTCAGGAGGGGAGCCGCCTGGGCATTCTTCAGTGCGCTGCAGAGTCTCCTTCTCCCGTTTAACTAAGCAGGCCAAAACACCTCTGGTCTTAGAGCAGGTTGATTTGGGGCGAATTCACAGCCTGAGGACTGGGACAAGGCAAGGGACTGCCCTGTGCACGGCCACACTTGGTCAGGCAGGAGACCTGTCTTCCCCTCACCTGCTCAACTGGGGTGGAAGGTCCAGAGCTTCTTCCACTGGTTTGTGTGACACAAACAGGGGCAACACACGCTGTCAGACCCTGGATTTCCACTTGTGTGTCATTTCCTGTGCTAAGAAACTATATAGTGTTGCCCCCATTCCAGCTACTTATGCGGGAAGGGGTCCAGAGACTACCTCTGTGCTCAGATACCATGACCTTCCCCAAGGACGGTCCCCAAGGAGAGCCACAGCACTGGAAGCATAAAATCAGTGTGTCTAGGCCAGACTAAACTAAACACGCTCCACTTGTACCCCAGCAGGTGGCAGAGATGGGTACCTCCTCTGCACTGCACCCACCCTCACCCCCTGGGCAGCCTGGCACTCTACCTGGTCCAGCAGGTGCAGCCGCTTCACATAGGCCTCCTCTGTGTGCAGGAGCTCTTGGGCAATGTTGAACAGCTGCTGGGGCTTGGGGCTCTGCCAGGAGAGGAGAGATGCTTCACCTGGGGAAGACTAGGGGTGGCAGCACGGACCCAGGCTGCCGTTGTGCACCAGGAACTGCCAGGCAGAAACTCAGGTGCCACGGGGCTGGGAAATGTTGCTGGGGCTTGGGCAGGGACTTCGTTTTTCACAGACGGGATTTCAAGGGCTATCTCCAGGGAGGCACACAGTTTCCGCCAACCTCAGAGCAGCCTCAGCAACCAGAACAGGAAGTCGAGTGCGTGCGCTCTGGCTGTAGGGTGCAGTGACCACGGCAGAGCACAGACTGGGGGACACGTGGCATTAAGTCCTTGTCAAAACCCACTGGACTGTACAGCACAGAGAAAACCTCTATGTGAACTAGGGACTCTAGTTAAGGGTAATGTATCAATACTGGCTCATCCATTGTAACCAATGTACCACAGGAACCAAGATGTTTATAATAGAAGATAGAATAATAGAGTAATAATAACCGTGTGTTAATGATAGGAGAAACTGTGTGGTGGAAAGGGTATGTGGGAAGGTCTGTACTTTCTGCACAACTTTTCTTAAGCCTAAAACTCCTCTAAAAACTAAAGTCTATTAAAATAACAAACACTACAACAAAAGACAGCTTTTCCTGCGTCAGTTGCAAGTGAGATGAAAAGCACAATGAGGTGACCAAGAAACGGACAGGCTCCCCTCTGGGGCTGTAGCCAGGCTTTCCTGCTTCCTTCTGAATTCTGGATTCCTGCCTCTCCTCTGCAGAACCCCATCCCCTCTGCAGTCCTGGGAAATAGTTATCTCCAACTACCCTAAAAAAGCAAGACACAAACCCAAAATAGGGCAGAGAACGACATCATCTAGCCCTCGGAGCTCCCTCCACCGGCTCTTATTCCCTCTCTGCTGAGTTCCCCAAGGCTCCTGCCCCCTGCTGCCTCCTTCCTGCTGCGCTGCCGGTATGCCAGGCGGGGTGCTTGGCTGCCAAAGTGAAGAAGGGGAACTGACCAGGGAGGTTCTCCACTGCCCTTCTGGAGTGCTGCACTTGAGGCCCCCAGCAGCCAGCACCACTCTTGACCGGGCCATCCATGGAAGGCCCTGGCGGGGTGAGGGCACGGAGGGGTCTTGGGTGGGGTCCTGCATGTGGATTCTTTTAAAATACCCCCCACAGTGGTTCTGAAGTTCAAACGGGGTGGAGAACTACCAGACTAGAGCAGGAGTCAGCAAGCTTTATCCGTGAAGAGCCAGATAGTAGATTTTTTAAGCATTGCAGACCATACAGCCTCTGTTGCAACTACTCAACTCTGATGTTCGTTCATGAAAGCAGCCTTAGATAAAATGTAAAAAATGGATGTGGCTGTGTTCCAATAAAACTTTATTTATAAAAATGTGCCAGAAGCTGGATTTGGCCTGTGGCCCAGTTTGCCAGCCCATAGGCAAGGGTGCTAATTTCACATCTCTTGCCATGCACCAGAATCAATTAGGAAAATTTAAAAACAAAATAACACACCAGGAGGGGCAGGGATTCCTCTAGAGGTCCTTGCAGGATGTTGGGGGGTGGGGTGGGGTCCCCAGCACCTGTTAGAGCTCCCAGGTGACTTTGATGCCTAGCCTGCCTAAGAGCCGCCACCCTCACCAAGGACGAGGTACACTGTTTTGACCTTAAGACTATTTTGTCCCTCGGAGACAGTCCCTTCCCTACATCCTCCACGTGGTTCACTCACTACCGCATCTATCTGGCCCTCACTGGCTCCTGAGTTTGAGACTCCAATTTTACATGTAGACATATTTTTGTGTAGTAACAAGTGCAGCACGGACCTTGACTCTGTATTGTGAGATTTTCATTTAACACTCATTAGTAACATTTTCTCCATGTTTCTACTGCATGAAACGGCAGTGGGGCCCGTGGGACCTGGGTCCTCCCTCTGATCCTAGCACTCGTTGGGACCTAGGGCAGACAGCTCACTCCCCTGAGTCCACTGACTGGTTCTGTTGAATGAGGAATATTGCTACTTGGACACAGAGAAGCAGCAGCCTTGATTTCCAAGCCAGGTGCAGTGCTTCAGGTAAGGGGCTTCTGGACACAACATCTCCACTTTGCTGTGTCCAAGGAAATGCTCTGCCACCGAGACCTGTGCTGACCATTTATTCACAGCCTGCTGTGCTTGGAGAGTAAGCAAGCTCCAAATCCAACTCCAGCTTCTGATTGCTTTGGTGAGGCGCCCTAAGGCTCCTCTCTCTGTGGTCTCCCTCAGTGCAACACCTCGACACAGCCAACTTTGTCAGACTGCAAGCTTGTCCTGGGGGTCTCAGGCTGCCTAGGCTAGGACATCTGAGCAACCCAGGTGGCAGTCCTCACATCCAGACTCCTCCCCCCAAAACTACTCCTGTCTTCTTCCCTAGAGGCCGCCAGACTGAAGAAGCCCCTAGACATACCTGCCCCTGCTGGGTATCCATCACAGTAGTAGCTCTCCTTGAGTCCTCCCTCCCTCCCTGGGATGCCTTCCTCATTGGTTGAGGGGGTACATGGATCTATCTGTACCCTACACCTACTGTCCCAAGCTTCCTTACTCCCCTCCCAGCCACCCCCAGACCAGCCATAGCGTGACCTCCCACAGTGAGCCTGAAGACTCCTACTCAGACCACCCCATGACACCCACTGCCTGGCACAAGCCCACATTCCTTGTCCTGGCATTCCAGCCCCTTCATGATACCGGCACTGCTACCGTTTCTCTCCGCCTCTCCCTGCCATCCCGTGCTATCAGTCAGTGCTTGTTGCCACTGCTGTCTCCCTGCCCTCCACAGCAGAGAAGGGGGCCTAGTCCTGTAGGATTCGTGTGCAACCCCACTCCTTCCCCTAGGCCTACAGGCCCTTTAGTGACACTGCCCCTTGGTGCCCTGCCAACACTCCAGCCTGTGTCCATCTCCTGCTGGACTCACTGATGGCTGAGAACACTCCCGGTTTGTGCCTCATTTTCCTCATCTCTACAATGGGATCCACCACTTATCTGTCAGTCTGTTGTACTGAGGTAGCTTGTGTGTTGCTGTGATGGTGGAAGCTATGCCACCAGTATTTCAAATATCAGCAGGGTCACCCATGGTGAACAGGTTTCAGCAGAACTTCCAGACAAAGACAAACTAGGAAGAAGGAACTGGCAGTCTACTTCTGAAAATATTGACCAGTGAAAACCTTAGGAATAATAGCAGATCATCTGACATAGTGCCAGAAGATGAGCCTCTCGGGTTGGAAGCCACTCAAAATATAACTGGGGAAGAGCTGCCTCATCAAAGTACAGTCAACCTTACTGATGTGGATGCAGTAAAGCTTTTGGGGCCTTCATTTGCTGATGTACCATGACTCAAAATGAGAGAAAACAGCTGAAAACATCCATTAGTAATCGAAACGTGGAAAGTAAAAAGTATGAATCTGGGAAAATTAGAAGTTGTCAAAAATGAATGCTTGAAGATCAATATCCTAGGCATTAGTGAGCTGAAATGGACTGGTATTGACCATTTTGAACGGGACAATCATATGGTCTTCTATGCTGGGAATGACAAATTGAAAAGGAATGGTGTCACATTCATCATCAAAAAGAACATTTCAAGATCTATCCTGAAGTACAACGCTGTCAGTGATAATATCCAGACTACAACGAAGACCAGTTAATACAACTGTTATTCAAATTTACACACCAACCGCTAATGCCGAAGATGAAGAAATCAAAGATTTTTACAAACTTCTGCAGTCTGAGATTGATCAAACATGCAATCAGGGTGCACTGATACGTATGTGTGATTGGAATGTGAAAGCTGGAAACATAAAAGACGGGTCAGTAGTTGGAAAATATGGCCTCGGTAGTAGAAACCACGCGGGAGATGGTATGATAGAATTTTGCAAGACCAACGACCTATTTTTTGGAAATAGGTTTTTTCAACAACATAAATGGCGACTATACAAAGGGACCTTGCCGGATGGAATACACAAGAATCAAATCGACTGTATCTGTGGAAAGAGACGATGGAGAAGATCGATATCATCAGTCAGAAAAAGACCAGGGGCCGACTGCAGAACAGACCATCAATCGCTCATACGCAAGTTCAAGTTGAAGCTGAAGAAAATTAATACAAGTCCATGAGAACAATAGTACAACCTCAAGGGTATCCTACCTGAATTTAGAGACCATCTCAAGGATAGATTTGACACATTGAATATTAATCACCAAAGACCAGACGATTTATGGGATGATATCAAGGACATCATACATGAAGAAAGCAAAAGGTCATTAAAAAGAGGAAAGAAAGAAAAGCCCAAAATGGATGTCAGAAGAGACTTTGAAACTTGCTCTTGAACCTAACAGCTAAAGTAAATGGAAGAAATGATGAAATAAAAGAGCTGAACAGAAGATTTCAAAAGGCGGCTTGAGAAGACAAAGTAAAGTATTATAACGGAGTGTGCAAAGGCCTCAAGATAGAAAACCAAAAGGGAAGAACACGTTTGGCATTTCTCAAGCTGAAAGAACTGAAGAAAAAAATTCAAACCTCAGGCTGCAATATTGAAGGACTCTATGGGCAATATTGAATGATGCAGGAAGCATCAAAAGAAGATGGAAGGAATACACAGAGACACTGCACCAAAAAAAATAGATTGACATTCAACCAATCCAGAGGTAGCATACGATCAAGAACCAATGGTATTTAAGGAAGAAGTCCAAGTTGCACTGAGCACTGGCAAAAAACAAGGCTCCAGGAATCGACGGAATACCAATTGAGATGTTTCAACAAGCAGATGCAACACTGGAAGCGCTCACTTGTCTATGCCGAGAAATTTGGAAGACAGCTACCTGGCCAACCAACCAGAAGAGATTTGTACTTGTGCCCATTTCGAAGAAAGGTGATCCAACAGAATGCGGAAATTATCGAACAATATCATTAATATCACACACAAGTAAAATTTTGCTGAGTACAATTCAAAACAATAGCAGCAGTACATTGACAGAGAACTGCCAGAAAGTCAAACCTAATTCAGAAGGGAATGTGGAACAAAGGATATCATTGCTGATGTCAAATGGATCTTGGCTGAAAGCAGAGAATACCGGAAAAATGTTTACCTGTGATTATTGACTATGCAAAGGCATTTGACTATGTGGATCATAACAAATTATGCATAAAATTGTGAAGAATGGGAATTCTAGAACACTTAACTGTGGTCATGAGGAACCTGTAACTAGATCAAGAGACAACTGTTCAAACAGAACAAGGGGATACTGTGTGGATTAAAATCAGGAAAGGTGTGTGTCAGGGTTATATCCTTTCACCATACTCTATATGCTGAGCAAATAATCAGAGAAGCTGGACTATATGAAGAAGAACGCAGCATCAGGATTGGAGGAAGACTAATAACTTGCGATATGCAGATGACACCACCTTGCTTGCTGAAAGTGAAGAAGACTTGAAGCACTTACTGATGAAGACCAAACACTACAGCCTTCAGTATGGATTGCACCTGAACATAAAGAAAACAAAAATCCTCACAATGGGACCAATAAGCAACATCATGATAAACAGAGAAAGTGTTGAAGTTGTCAAGGATTTCATTTTACTTGGATCCACAATCAACACCCATGGAAGCAGCAGTCAAGAAATCAAACGACATATTGCATTGGGAAAATCTGCCGCAAAATACATCTTTAAAGTGTTAAAAAGCAAAGATGTCACTTTGAGGACTAAGGTGTGCCTGACCGAAGCCATGGTGTCTTCAACTGCCTCACATGCATGTGAAAGCTGGACAATGAATAAGGAAGACAAAGAAGAATTGATGCATTTGAATTATGGTGTTGGCGAAGAATATCGAATATACCGTGAACCTCCAGGAGAATGTACAAATCTGTCTTGGAAGAAGTACAGCTAGAATGCTTCTTAGAAGGGAAAATGGCAAAACTTCACCTCACATACTTTGGACACATTATCAGGAGGGACCACTCCCCGGAGAAAGACATCGTACCTGGTAAAGTAGAGGGCCAGCAAAAAAGAAGGATCCTCAACGAGATGGCTATAACAATAGGCTGAAGCACAGAAACGATTTCAAGGATAGTGCAAGACCAGGCGGTGTTTCATTCTGTTATACCTGGGTTGCTATGAGTGGGAACCGACTCAACAGCACCTAACAACAACAATAACAACACAACGGGGGTCATGCAGCACCCTCTTCCAAGAGCAGGTGTAAGGTCTGATGACCGGCCTGGGAAGCCTGCTGCCTCCAGACAGGAGGGGCCCAGCACAGTCTCCTTTACGAACAGTTTTCACCAAGGAACAAGCTTTAGCTAGAGTGTGAAGAAAGGGGAAAAAAGGCGTACGTAGAAGAACAGTGGACTGCAGAGCAAGGCTGGGCAGAGTTCAGGCAGGGGTGGGGCTGCACTGAGGGCCCGCGGGGGGCCGCCCACGGCACGGCCACTAGATGGCAGCGCCGCCACATGAAGCAGGAGTGTCCCCGCTGGACCCTACAAACCGAAACTGGAGCCCTGCCCACTTCTCCTGATGGAAAGTATTTTTGTCTGGGGTTTGCATTCTTCAGTCGCTCAGGCATTCTGGCTTGGTTACTCCTTCATGCACTAATGGCACCAGCGAGCTGAGGCCGGCGCCCGTCGCACAGCTCATTCCTTCCTTCAACGGGCCCTGCCTGGTGGGGACATTGTACTAGGCAAAGATTGCAGAGTTCAGGGAGGCCCCAGCAGAGGAGGGAGGAAGTGCTGGGGGAGGTGTCCGCTATGGGGCGAAGCAGGCGCCAGCCTGGGCCTCTGGTGGGCCTCGCTGCCCAGGACACAGGGTCAGGGATGGCAAATAGTGAGTGTGCACTTGAGACGCTGTCTCCAACCTCAGTGAGGAGGGTGCCCTCAGAGAGAGGGGAAGGGCAGGACCACGGGAACAGAGGAGGGTGCAATTAGCATGTGACCACGGGGCCTGGGACCCAAAAGTCCAGCCAGCAGATCCGGATTGGGCCAGGAAAAGAAACAAACAAAACACCCAAACTCACTGTGGTCAGTAGATTCCAACTCATGGTGACCCCAGGCATTTCAGAGTACAACTGTGCTCCATAGAGTTTTCAGTGGCTGTTATCTTATGGAAGCAGATTGCCAGGCCTTTCTTCCATGGTGCCTCTGGGTGGGTTCTAACCACCAACCTTTCGGTTAGCAGCTAAGAGCAAACTGCTCCACCCAGGGATCTGGAAGAGCTGAAGAGGTGTGGGGAACCAGGGTGAGTAGACACCTTTGCCAGAATAAGGAGGTAGGGAAGAAACAAGGGGAAGAAGAGACCTTCGGTTGGGAACGTCTTGATGGTGGCCACATCACTTGACCCCTCCGGGCCTCCATCTCTCCGTCAGTGCCCCACCTGGCCCTCCCGGAGCACTTAGTGCAGTCCACTCGGGACAGACATTACAAGTCCCAGAAAGCTAAGTCTGATTTAGTCTCAATTTTGTTACTTAATCTTGAAAGACAGCCCCCTTAAAAAACGATAAGCCACATGAGAGAATTAAGCTGAGATTCTGTCTTGAAAGGAGCATTTTGAGGAACGGGCCCGGCCTCTCCATGCCTGTCTCCACACGAGCCTGGCCCGGTGCCCTGGTGTCTAGTCCCTGTGTGCTGTGTTAGCCCCAGTCCACTCATGGGGCCAGGAGGTACGCCACCTGACACGCTTCCTGAATGTCCTCTCCTTTCCTTTATGGCTTTTTAGCTGCTTGCCTGAGATGTAATGCCTCACAGTGAGCACACACCTGTGCCACCACTCCCATACCAGCACCCTTCATTCTACCTGGTGAGTATAGGTGGCACAGTGTCCTGGGCTCCTGGCATATCACCTCACCCTAGGATGTGTGGGGCGGATGGTGCTCTCACCAGCATCATGAGATGGAGAAGAGGAACAGACTCCCTCCCCACCAGGGACAAGGTGCTGCTTCTTGCATTACAGACAGGAAGACTGGGGCAGAGCCTGTGTGGCGGGGGGGCAGGACTAGGTCTGCATTCCCACCAACACCAAAGCAACGCTGAGACTGGGTTCTGGTGGGGCAACCTTGAGAAGCCATGGGGGTTGGCTCACAGCAGCCCTGCCCCCCAGGCTGCCCTGCACCCGCCAGCTGAACTCCTGACACCCACCACCCGGGAGCCAGCAGGTTGACCCTGACCGCTTGCTGGTTCTTCACGGATTCATACCAAAAAAACCAAATCCATTGCCACTGGGCTGATTCTGACTCATAGCAACCCTATAGGACAGAGTAGAACTGCCCTATAGGGTTTCCAAGGAGCAGCTGGTGGATTAGAACTGTGACCTTTTGGTTAGCCGACAAGCTCTTAACCACTGCGCCACCAAGGCTCCTCTCCACCAACAGGGGCTTCTTTAAGCAGGGCCTGCGTTTCCTTCCCCTTTCCCACGGGTCCCAGCTCAACGCCCAAGCTTGACAAATGAAAAAACTTCCTCTCAAGGAGGCACCCACCTATCCCCCAGAGGCACAGGGCAGCTTCTGGCTCTAGTTCACACTGACAGAGAACCTGCTGTACCAAGCCCTCTGCTGCCCACCTGTGTGCAACCCCGGGCGGGTTCTAACCTCTCCCTGCCTCAGTCTCTACGTTTATGAAGCAGGGTGGGACGAACACTGTTTCCTTATGGGGTTGTGTGTGGCCGCCATGTACTGGTGCACTCAAAGCCCTCACCACAGGCCATGGCTGCAACACTGCTGCCAGTGAGACGGGACCATCAGCGCCATCCCGGGGCCACAGGCTGCATGTCTACCTTGCAGGTGTGGAGACTGAGGCTCAGGGGAGTAAGTCATTGGCCCAAGGGGTCAGGTGGGCCTGCCCCCTAGGCCTGCAGGTGCCCCACCACCAGCAGGGCTTTCCCTACAGGCCTGACTGCAAGCAGCCTCCTGTGTGTGGCGTGGCCGTGTGAGCATGAGAACAGAGTAACATGCCCCAGGTGACACCTACCACAGTCACTGATCACCCCTCCAAGGAGAAACTGGGGTAAAGGACCGTGAGGCCTACCTTGGCCATGCCTGCCTCCACGCCACCTGTCTGGAGGATGGTCCCCGGGTCGGGTCCCTCGCTGCTGCCCTCGTCCACATCACTGGCGGTGTCCTGTGAGGCATCCTGTGAGTCTGTCTCTGGGTGGAGCCCCAGCATGGCCGGGCCCTGGCCAGCCTCGCTGCTGCCTTTGTCCACATCACTGGCAGTGTCCTGTGGGGCTTCCTGCGTGTCTGTCCCTGGGTGGAGCCCCAGCATGGCGGGGCCCTGGACGGCCTCGCTGCTCTCCTCTCCAGGGAAGCTCTCACCGGCCACACTGCAGGACGGGCTGTCAATCCCGCTGTCCCGGTTAGGGACTTTGCCATTGCCACTCTGCTCACCTGTGGGGCCTGTGTCCAGGAGGCTGTCCCCGTTCCCTGCAGCTGCCTGGATGCCAGGACTCATGACAGCATGGTCCCCGCAAATGGGAAGCTCTTGGGGAATCCTGAGGTCTGTGAGTTGTGACTCCAAGGGCTGGCACTCCCCAGCCTTGGCCTTCTCCTGGGAGGAGCTGCCAGGCCCAGAGTCCAGACCCCCTAGGGCAGTAACAGGGCCAGATCGTACTGAGGAGCCCACATCTGACTCCATTCTCACAGCTGAGTTTGCCAGGCCCCGTGGAAGGCTGAGTGGGGGGCTCCTGTGGGGAGAAAGGATTCGTTCAGGCTCTGCGGGCATTGACTCAATATGAGCAGTGCTCTGTTGGCCCCTGAGTGCAGGAGAGTGGTGCACTGAGGGCTCCAGTCCCAGGAAGTTCCTCTCCAGGGAATGTCACAACAAGGAGACAGCCTGGGACTGTGGGGAGGCCCGCCCAGCCCCATGACATGTCTCTGAGTGTGATATCTAAACACCCAGGCTGGGTTCAGTGGGGTCTTCCAATGACAGGAAACAAAATATTTTATTTTGAAAATAAGTTTCTTCTACATTAGAAAAGAAATCCTGTGGTGTGAAACTATCCGCTGCTCAATAAATTCAAACTTTCTGCACAAAATAATAATCAACATGAGTAGAGTGGTTTCAGTTTATAAAGTGCTTTTGTATCCAATGTGTTTTTTTAATACTCAAGATAATCCTACGAGGTAATACAGGTATCATGTTCATCACCATCACCATCATCATTGACATCACCATCATTACCATAATCCCCATCGCCACTATCGCCACCATCACCACTGTCACCACCATCACCCTCGTCATCACCATCATTACCATAGTCACCATTACCACCATCATCCTCCTCATCACCATCACCACCATCACCCTCGTCATCACCATCATTACCATAGTCACCATTACCACCATCATCCTCCTCATCACCATCACCACCATCACCACCATCACCCTCGTCATCACCATCATTACCATAGTCACCATCAACACCATCACCCTCCTCATCACCATCACCACCATCACCATCATCACCCTCCTCATCACCATCACCACCATCACCACCATCACCATCCTCATCACCATCACTACCATCTCCACTACTGCAGTGTCACAGCACCCTTACTGCCCTCATCATCCTTCTTGTTACCCCTGTTCACCCAAGGACATCAACCCAAGGTTTTGCTTCCAAATCCCAGGATTTCTCCTCCTGGATAAACTGAAGCTACTTTACACTTTCACATCACTCTCACCTGAAAACCCTCCTAGAGGGAAGACAAAGTATTAATTATAAGTGTACAGGACATTTCACAGAACTTCAACTGAGAAGGATTAAAAGGTACGAATGAATGGACCAGAAGGGAGCTGAACCTTCACTGAAATGTCCCCTTGAGCCCTCGGTGGGGCTGGAGAGCACGATAAGGGACAAATCATACTAAAGCACACCGACAATAACTTACTCTTAAACGACAGGCAGGTTACCTGGCACCTTCAAACTTTCCGATGAGGGTGTTCCCTGCAGGCCACAGGCTCCTTGGTGGGGGGCTTTGGGTTGGCTAGCAGAGGCTGTTGTGGGGCTGGAGGGATTAGTTTAAAATCTCTTTCTTGTCCAGGAGCTTTGAAGTGGAGCATTTTAGGGGATACTGAAAAACATTAAAGGAGAATGAAAACTCATCTTCTTCCAACTGGCATTTAGATTCTAAAGGGAGTGGGTGAAAGAGGCCAGCTCCATACGACTGCCCAATGGCAGCAAACTGAGAGGACCCATTCTAGGAGCGGGTCCTTTCTGGCCAGCACATTCATGGAGGCTGCAAGGTGGACACCACACAGCCGTTTCCTTGGCCCCCAGACAGACACAGCAGGGAAGGCAGCTGTGGCAGTGCCCTCATGTATGAGGCTGCTTCCTGGGCTTGGCTCTTAAACTCAGAAACCAGGACTAGGCTTATTCCTGGCAAGCAGTGCTCCACATCAGGGAGGCAGTTTCACCACCCCAGTGTGTGGAGGAACAAGTGAAGACCACCACACACCTCCCCCTGCCCACACTCACAGAGACACATAGTTCTAACACTCACATGAACTTACAATAACTCCCATTCTCACTCATGCTCATTCAGTCACACACAGTCAGCCACACACACACTCACACTCACACACACTCACACTCACACTCACACTCAGGTATTCTTCTGCCAGCAGCTGCTTTCCACGTTCAGTTCCTCACTTGCTAAACAGAATGAACAATGTTCCTCTAAGAAGTTTTCACACACACATAGAATGGACACATTGGCCTGAGCCTGGTCCACAGTGGCTTTGCCTGGTTGAAATGCATCTGGGGAGCGTTCAGGGGAAGTGATGCATTCGCCTCGCTTCTTCACACTGTTTTGAGAGTTGATGAGATTTCATGGGCAGCAGTTTCATAAGCACTCATGTGGCAAAAACTACTTCTGATTGGACCTGTCTTTCAGAATGACACCAAAATCAGCTCAACATGGACCTTTATCACTGGCTACTGCCTCATTCTTAGAGTGAGCTTAATAGGGAGAGATACTAAGATTTCTAAACAGAAAATACTTGTTTTACTGCATTCTTCTCATAGCTAGGAGAGGAACTCAAGTTTCCAGAAAACAGACATGACATGGCAGTAAAAATATGCTAAAGAGAATGTGAGCCATGCTTTCAACCTCAGTGTATTCAAACGCAGGGTTGTCTGCTGTTTGGTGCAAGACAGAGCGGGGTTCAAATCCTGCCTCAGGATGACTTATGCTCCTGGTCAAGATGGAGTAACAGAAACCAGATATATCCTGCCACCCAAAACAACCAAAAAATGGAAAAAACAAATGAAACAATAGCGTGCAGGACATTGCACATCAGGCAGCAAAGCATAGTGATCTTTGAGAAATGGGAAAGAAATGAGGTGAACCCTACTCTCACTCAGATGACGGCATGAAGATGCCTCTTGGAACAGAGGCAGAGCCCAGTGAACTTCCTGAGGTGAGGAGACAGCGCTGAGAATCTAGGAAGACCAAGGGAGCTGGAGTTCACAGGATAGAGTACTGGAGAGGAGACAGCTGCACAGAGAGAACTCCAAAGAAATGCAGAAGCTCTCCCTTGAGTATTCAGCTGAGATCTCATTAGCATATGCGTGTGAGGAAACTACATAAAGTCAAGGAAAGAACCACCCAAGAAGTTTAGAGAGAGCAGTAACGGGAACTCTTACAGGGTCGGGAATAGTGCCTGTTCCCACCAGCCAGAGTGCAAAACCTTGATTCACGGGCCATTGGGTAGAGTACTCAGAAGGTTCTTGCCTCCGTGGTGGGGAACAGTTAACCGTACAGTTAGCACTGCTCTCGTTTCACCTAACCAATCTTAAAAGCAAGACAGAAAAAGATCAAACTGCTTCCAAGTAACTAAATTGCAGCCCTGAGGAAAGCTCAAGAATATGTATAACCCATTTCATAGTGACCCTATAGGACAGAGTAGAACTACCCCATAGGGTTTCCAAGGAGCGGCTGGTGGATTCGAACTGCTGACCTTTCAGTTAGCAGCCGAATGCTTAGTCACTGAGCCACCAGAACTCCAAGAATATACATAGGACTATAAAATATCTAAAACCTGTATGGGCTCATTTCAACAGCATAGGCCCTCATTACCACAGTACAACAGTGTATATACCTGAAGCCTAACTTCAACTGTATTAGCTATATGGTAAAGTGGCAGGTTCGTGATATTTGGCACTGCTCTGCCCATTAAGCAGAGTCCTCACCTACACACATCAGGGGCCTGAGGACTGGTGGCTCCACCCATGCCACCTAGCCACCCACAACAGAAGTCCAAGAATAAGTGGTCCCTCCCAGTCCTTATAGCCAAAAGCATTGGGTGCTCAAAGTTCGGCTGCAAAACCCACCCACCTATGTGCTCTAGGGAACAGGGACGTGCTTTACTCCCAGACACTCAGGGGCAGCCGTCAGCCTCCTCCCTTGCTCAGCACATGACCCCCTACTGCAGCCAGATACCTGTGTCTACACCAATCACCCTTGCCTATCTAAGACTGTAGGTGAGAGCCTGTACCACACACTTGGTGACCAACTACCTCGCCACCTGCGCTGAATCCATACAAGAAAAGTAAACAGACTCCTGGCCTCAAATACCTAGTAACAGATCTATCCACCCAGTAACAGGACATTAGAGCTTCAAAGGCACCAATAATCAAACTAGCTCACACAAGCAGCTTATTTGGGCATACCAAAACAAGAAGCTAGGACACAGTAAGCAAACATAAAATAAATAAATATAATTACTTATTGATGGCTCAGAGACAACAGTCAATATCAAATCACATAAACAGGCAGACCATGATGGCTTCAGCAAGCTCCCAAAAGAAAGAATCAAGAAATTTTCCAGAGGAAGAGAATTTCTTGGAATTACTGGAGGTAGAATACAAAAGATTAATAAACAGAACTCTTCAAAACATCAGGAAGGAGATCATGCAAAATACAGACCAAGCCAAGGAAGACACAGACAAAGCAATAGAGGATCTTAAGAAGGTTATTCAAGAGCATAATAACAAATTTAATAGGCTGCAAGAATCCATAGAGAGACAGCAAACAGGAATCCAGAAGATTAACAATAAAATTTCAGAATTAGACAACTCAATAGAAAGTTATAGGAGCAGAATTGAGGCAACAGAAGTCAGCATTAGTGAGATTGAAGATAAAGCACTTGACACCAACTTATTTCAGGAAAAACTAGACAAAAGATTTTTAAAAGATGAGAAAACCCTAAGAATTACATGGGACTATATTAAGAGGAATAACCGACCAGTGATTGGAGTACCAGAACAGGAGAGGATAACAGAAAATACAGAGAGAATTGTTGGAAATTTGTTGGCAGAAAATGTCCCTGATATCATGAAAGATTAGAAGATACCTATCCAAGATCCTCATCGAAATCCACATAAGGTAGATCCCAAAAGAAAGTCATCAAGACATATTATAATCCAACTTGCCAAGACCAAAGATAAGAATTTTAAGAGCTGCTAGGAATAAACAAAAAGTCATCTACAAAGGCAAGTCAATAAGAATAAGCTCAGACTATTCAGCAGAAACCATGCAGGCAAGAAGGTAATGGGATGACGTATATAAAGCCTTGATAGAAAAGAATTGCCAGCCAAGAATAATATAGCCAGCGAAACTGTCTCTCAAATATGGTGGTGAAATTAGGGCATTTCCAGATAAACAGAAGTTGAGGGAATTTGCAAAAACCAAACCAAAAAAATTACAAGAAATACTAAAGGGAGTCCTCCGGTTAGAAAATCAATAACATCAGATAACAACTCAAGACTAGAACACAGGATAGAGCAACCAGATATCACCCCAGATAGGGAAGTCACAAAAATAAATCAAAGCTAAAACACTGAAAATAGCTAAAACCCAGACAGGGAAGTCACAAAAATAAATCAAAGCTAAAACACTGAAAATAGGGAAACAGAGATGTCAATATGTAAAAGATGATAACATTAAAACAAAAAAGAGGGACTAAAAAATGTAGTCATAGATTTTTCATATGGAGAAGAAGTCAAGGCAATATAAAGAGATAAAAGACCAATTTAAACTAAGAAAAATAGGGGTAAATATTAAGGTAACCACAAAGGAAACTAACAATCCTACACATCAAAAATAAAAAACAAGAAAATCATAAAGACTCAACAAATACAAAATCAACAACAATGAAAAGAGACTACATAAAGAAAAACAACTCAGCACAGAAAATTAAGTGGAACAAAGGAACTGTCAACAGCACACACACAAAAAAATCAAAATGACAGCACTGAACTCATACCTATCAATAATTACGCTGAATGTAAACGGACTAAATGCACCAATAAAGAGACAGAGAGTGTCAGAATGGATAAAAAAACATGATCCGTCTATATGCTGCATATAAAAGACACATCTTAGACCTAAACACACAAACAAAATAAAACTCAAAGGATGGAAAAAATATATCAAGCAAACGACACTCAAAAAAGAGCAGGAGTGGCAATATTAATCTCTGACAAAATAGACTTTCAAGTAAAATCCACCGCAAAGGATAAGGAAAGAGACTATGTAACGATTAAAGGGCCAGTACACCAGGAGGCCATAACTACAATAAATATTTACACACTCAACGACAGGGCTCCAAAATACATAAAACAAACTCTAACAGCATTGAAAAGAGAGATAGACAGCTCCACGATAATAGTAGGAGACTTCAACATACCGCTTTCAGTGAAGGACAGAACATCCAGAAAGAAGCTCAATAAAGACACGGAAGATCTAAATGCCACAATCAACCAACTTGATCTCATGGACATATACCGAACACTCCACTGAACAGTAGCCAAGTATACTTTCTTTTCCAA